AATGAGTGACTTTTTCATCAGTGTATGATTCCTCATCAAACTTCACATGAATGGATTCTTCAACACATTGCCTATTCACATGAAAAACACGAAAAGCCTTTGAAATAGATGAGTACCCAACAAAAATACCTTTATCAGCCTTAGGTTCAAACTTGGATCTTGGGTCACGCTGATTTAGAATATAACAAATGCATCGAACACATGAAAAAAGGATACATCTGGTTTTCGATCTTTCAGCATTTCATATGGAGTCTTCTTGTGAATCCTGTGAATTAGAGATCGATTCTGAGTAAAACACGCTGTATTGACAGCTTCAGCCCAAAACGACATAGGAAGACCAGCATGGATCATCAAGGTTCTTCCTGCCTCAATCAGTGTTCTATTCCTTCGTTCAGCAACACCATTTTGCTGAGGAGTACGAGGAGCTGAGAAGTTTTGTCCAATTCCTTTATTGTCACAAAATTCTTCAAGAGTTGAGTTTCGGAACTCAGTACCATGATCACTTCTTAGTTCTTAACTTTAAGACCTGTCAGTGTCTCATTTTTACGAATCAGTGAGATAATTTCCTGTGCAGCATGACTTTTCTTCTTCAAGAAAACTACCCAAGTAAATCGAGTGAACTCATCAACGACCACTAGAGTATACTTATTTCCACCTAGTGAACGAACAGGAATAGGTCCAAACAGGTCCATGTGGAGTAGATAAAGAGGGACTGATATACTGGAACATGACTTGGGTTTGAAAGAGGACTTGGTTTGTTTCCTTGTTCACAAGCTGAGCACATCTTGTCTTTCACAACGCTGAATTTTGGGAGCCCTCTAACTAGGTCTTGATTGGATATCTTGGATAGATTCTTGAAGTTCAGATGAGAAAACCTTTTGTGCCAAATCCAGCTAAGATTCGTCTGAGACTTTGTAAGAAACATTGCATCAGTGCCTTGTCACTTGAGAACATGTCAAGAACATATATATCATCTTTTCTACTTGCTGAGAGTACGATGTTCTTGTCAGTGTTTACAACTCTTCCTTCCTTCTTTGTAAAGTGAACTTCATAGTCAGCATCACACAACTGACTGATAGAAATGAGGTTGTGTTTGAGACCCTTTACATATGAAACGTTTTGAAAAACCACGTTATTGCATTTGATGTTTCCATATCCCTTAGTGAACCCCTTTCCATTGTCTCCATAAGTAACTGCAGGACCAGTTTTCTTAACATAATCTTCCAGAGAGACTTTGATCCCATCATATGCCTTGAGCAACCACTATCTAAATACCAAAGATGCTCCTGACCCTGCAGTACTGAGAAACTAGTTAAACACACTGACCCATTCAAAGATGGGTCATTCACAAAGTTATTTGATAATAGATTATAACACTCCTTAGGAAGACAGTTTAAAGAGTTTGACTTAAGAGTCCATTTTTCATTTCTAACTTTAATATTTTCAGCTCTTGAGGATGATTTATCAAAAGAACATTCACTGATCTTGTGAGAGGAATTACCACATCTGTAACAAACTCTAGTACCAAAGTTCTTCTTGGTGAGCAAATTTTTTGATTTAACACATTTTGACATGTAAGATTCACCAAGAGAGCTTTGAGTCATTTTGATTATCATTGAGTCACGACTGAATTCAGTATTAGGAGGAGTTTGATCAGTGTTAGGTGATAAACTATCAGTATCTGATTTTCACTCATTCACAGATGGATTGCAATCAGGGAAGTGCTTGAGTTGTTCATGAACAGCATGAAACACTCCATTTGAGATAGGAAAAGCAATAATATTCTCAGTTAGAGGGATTGGTCTAACAAGATGTGCAGGATAAGAGGTAGGATCAATTCCGGTAATTTCAACATTACACTCAGTGATACCATCAGAATTAGTAATGCAATATTCATCAATTAAACTTTGATTAATAAAAGAGTTACTGACAAACTTATTTTTGAAATTGTTTTTCATCATATTCATGGAATAGACCTAGATTCCTTTTCTTGTGATTTAAAAACTTTTTCAGCTTCTGCAAAATTACCCCCAAGAATTTTCTCACAAGAATGTGGGAATTTGAGCTGAAATAATATAATTAGCATTCTTATGAGATTTTGCCCAAGTGTGAAGCACAGTTTGTTCTTTGATCAAAAGATTTTTACATCATCAATTTCAGCAGACAAGATGAATTTGACAAACTAGTAATTCTAAGATTTTCCTGAGTGGACTCAATAATACTATTTTTCATGGATATATCAGTTTCAAGAAGATCAATTTGATTTTGCAAATTTCTTATGGTTTGATTCTTCTTAGAATTAATGACACCCAAATACTCAAACATTTTGATTTTTTCATTCATTGAATAGGAAACAAAGTTTTTAACCTGGTACATTGAAGAAGAGTCAATGTTGTGCTTCCTGGAATTTTCAGCATCAGACATATCAATGTCAAAAGTACTTTTGTCTTTATCAAAATAGTCGGGTCCTCCATTTTGACCATTAGACACTTGACTTCATCATCTGATGACTCTTCATCAGTTTTCCATTTTTCTTCTTCAGCTACAAGCACTTTATGTTCCAAGTTTTCAGCTTTCAGCTTCTCAATCAGCTTGTTGTACTTCTGCTTCCAGTATTCATCTGAGCCTTGTTTTCTTTTGTTTACAATCCTTTGCAAAATGATCAGTGCTCCCATAGTTAAAGCACTGAGCCTTCTCTTTCTTATCAGCACATGCTTTTATCAGCTCCTG